TTCAGAAAGATTTCCCAGGCTTCAGGTGCATGGGGTGGGCTAGGGGAGAAACTGGTGAGGTGGGGTTTGGAGGGACTGCTGTTCCCAAAGTCCCTCACACCTATACATTCCCTCTGGCCTCTGTGTCTGGGTGGGAGGAGACTCTCCATCTCAGATCTTCAGGACAAAGCCTTCCTGGATCAGGGTCACTGATGTAGCTGCATCGCTCTTGCAGGGTCTGCCTTCTTAGCTACTTTTCCTTTGAAAAGGCAGCCCTAGGCCCACAAGAAATGTGAAGACTTCCCTGGTTGCTTATTGTTGGTGTGGCTCCTGTAGCCATCCTTTTGCTGGCAGTGCAGCCTGCCTGGTAGTCAGAAGAGTGCCAGTTTCATCTGGAGAAGGAACAGGGTTTCCTGGGGGCCGTCTATTGCTTAGTTGGGGGTGGCAAAAAGCAGATATGAGTGCCCTTCTGCTTGTGGGAGCACACCGGGTGCTGTTTCTCTCTTTCTCTGGTCTGGGTCTCGAACCAGCTTGTCTTTCTCCTATCACTTTTTAGCAGTGTCTTCTGGTAGCTTCATGTGTCATTACTAGGCCTGTGATACTTGTGGTTCGCATGGAAGGAGATGGAAAATGATGTCTATGTCATAAGGACTGGCAGTCATATACTTTAAATAGTGTGGGTTGCATTCGATAAAGGAAGTCTGTAAGATAAGATCACTTTGGGATTTAGTCAACTTTATTTCCCCTTTGATCTGCAAGATCAAGAGATTTGGGTTAGATCTTTTTTGATGCAGTTCCCCACATAAACCACTTTGTAATTCTGATAATGTTTAGTGAACTTAAAATAGCTATTGCAAATAAAGTTGGTGTAACTCATCATCTGCTATGCCACCCTGGCTGCAATGGATTGCAGCACAGTGAATAAAATCTGCCATACTTGAATGACATGTGTGCATGAGTCAAATCAAATAAAATCTAAAGCTTGTTCTACATGCTGATGCCCATGGGGAGGAAATAATAATTCAGTATATGTATGAATTAACTTCAGTTTTAACATTGGTATTTAGTAATATGATTATTCAGTCAAAGCACTCCCTTAATTATTTTTTAGTCGGCTTAATTACAAATCAGATTCCTTGTCCTTTCTCCCTGTCCTGGCCCTCTGCAGTGGTATAAATTGTGTAAATATGGAATCAGTAACTACCACGTTCCAGAGTCCGGTTAGGTACTGGGTAGACAGGAAACCTGCAACTCACTTCACCTGCTCTCAGCATCCGTCAATACTGTATTTGAAGGTATGTGAAAGACATAAGAGTGCAAACATGGTCTTCCAGAGCTGAAATTCCTCTGCTTTGGTTTATCAAACAGCTGAGTTGACTTCTGACGCTTCGCCTAGTTGCTTTTCATCTGCCAATTTATACCGGAGTTTATTTTGTCAGTACCTCTTTGAAAACTCATTAACGGTATTTTACTCCATCCTCAGGAATGATTCTGCCCAGGCACCTGAACAGATAGTAGTGCATTTTACTTATCCTTATTAATCACGTATCAACCCAAATTAAGGCAAGTAGTCAATTAAAATCATACGATTAAATAACTGTGTTTTCTACGTGTTCTGAGATATTTATACCATTCATGGACATTAAAGAAACATAAAGACAACAAAGGACTAAAAAGTACTTCAGTGTTAGGCAAGTTTTTATCTTAGCCTTTACTATTCCACTGCCCGATTTACAATTGTAATGAGTATATTTAAAGGCTTAGTAAACCCCTTCTTGAGGTACCTATCCATAAAATATAACATCTCGTATTGCAGGTGATACATTGCATTAGTTTATGTTTTGACAGCTTTGTGACACATGCAATTTTTCTTCAACTATGAACAAATTATTTTAAAGTGATATACAGTAAAATAGAACTTTTTGTGTGTATAGATTTATGACTAGATAGGTGTATAGGTTTGTGTAACTACCACCAAAATCAGAACACAGAACAGTTCCTATACGTCAAAGTACTGTGGTATCTATCCCTTTTTAATGACACCCTCCCCCCTTAAGCCCTGGATTACTACTGATTCATTCTTCATTCCTGTAATTTTTGTCTTTTTGAGAATGTCACACAAATGGAAGTATTACCTATGTAACTTCTGAGGCTGCAAGTGGAAATGTAAAATGGTACAGCCATTCTGGGAAATAGGTTGACAGTTTTCATATGAGGGTAAATATATACCAATCATATGATCAGAAATCTCACCATAGGTATTTACCCTAGAAAAATCAAATTTAAGCCGGACAAGGTGGCTCATGCCTGTAATCCTAGCACTTTGAGAGGCAAGGAGGGCAGATTGCTGAGCCAGGAGTTTGAGACCAGCCTGGGCAACGCAGTAAAATCCTGTCTCTACTAAAATACAAAAAATTAGCTAGGCGTGGTGGTTGTGCACCCTGTAGTCCCAGGTATTGGGAGGCTGAGGCAGGAGAATTGCTTGAACCTGGGAGAAGCAGATGTTGCAGTGAGCTGAGATCACACAACTGTACTCCAGCCTGGGTTACAGAGACTCCATCTCAAAATAAAAAAACAAGAAAAATCAAAATTATACCACATGAATGTTTATAGTAATTCTATTCATAATTGCCCAAATACAAACATTGTAACTATTCTTCAACAGGAAATTGGAAAAAAAAAAACATGCATAGTTTTACAAAGGAATTATACTCAGTACTCCCAAAGAACAAATTATTGATATACATAACAGCATCGGAATCTCACTAGGTTATGCTGATGAAAGAGATTACAATCAAGAGTTTTAGCCCTCTGTTTTATTTTATTTTCTCTATTTTGTTGTGGTGGGTGGTTGTCATCTAGTCAAAATCTTGCTATGTTGCCCAGGCTGGTCTTGAACTCTTGAACTCCTAGGCTCAAGTGGTCCTTCCACACTTCAGCATCCCAAAGTCTGGGATTACAGGGCATAAATCAGTATGCCCAGCCTTTAACACATGTATTTCATGTAGATTGGGATAGAACTATTGAACCATTTAGCAAGCTCCAAAGGGAGGATTTGTTCAAATGAGATTGTCTTGTCTACACAATAAAATCACAAGCAAACCAAAACATCATACATTTACTGTATTGTACAGTTGTAACTAAGCTGTCAAGAATACTGACTCATTTTCATTTGAAAGGGTTTAGTTTATACTCTCAACAAGTTTAGATGTACTCACAAAATGCCTGGTATAAGACAGGAAAAATAAAAAATCAAATATCATTTCCTTCATTTTGAATTAGCACTTCACATATTGAAATCAGAGTCATAATCACTGCTGATTTCAGTTCAACATTGATGCTGACTGCAACACGACATATCAATGCAAGGCAGCAATGCCTTCACTGAAGTTTGTGGAAAAGGTATAGAATGTTAGAGCCAAAGAGTCCTTTAAGTTAGTTTTAATGCAATTCTCTTGTTTCATAGGGGAGGAAACTGAAATTGAGATAAAATGGATTTAGCAAAATCACAGATGGATAATGACAGGGCCTGTATAAGAGAACTTCAAGGCTAAAGGCCCTTGGTATGCTGCCCAAGATAACACAAAGAGTTAAGGGATTATTTAGAAATATTTCTATAAAATTTAAACTGTAGTTGTATATTAATATTGATTAATTTACATTTCCCCTTATTGATTTATTCAAAAATATGTATGCTATACACTAGAGACTGGGGATTATAAACGGCCAAGAGTCACAAAAATTGCAATCCAGGAAGCTTAGAATTTGAAAGAAGGTGGATGTTGAAGCAGATGTCTATGAAACTGAGTTACATGAAGGATTCTACAGAAAACCTAGAGGAAAAAAAACAGTCCTAATCTGGCCTCAAGAGGTTAAGAAATGTCTAATGAGAATCCTGAGTCTTCAAAGACTCTTAACTCCTGCCAGGAAGAATTGGACACTCAATCTAGAAATTTGATGGCCTATCAAAACCCTGGAAACTGAGAAATGCCGTATTTTGGAGAATGGGGAAGATACATACGGTTGAAGCAGAACAGGCCTGGGAAATGACAGAGTTTTAGACTGAGGGGCTTGGAGGTGAAAAGGCAGGTAGCTACAATATTATGGCGTTATTTTTTCAAAAGAAAATTGTATTTTGTTCTATATAAAGGTGGGGTGCATCACAAGGTCAAGAGATTGAGACCATGGATGGTCAACATGGTGAAACTGCGTCTCTACTAAAAATACAAAAAATTAACTGGGCATGGTGGTGCATGCCTGTAATCCCAGCTACTCAGGAGGCTGAGGCAGGAGAATTGCCTGAACCCAGGGGGCGGAGGTTGTGGTGAGCCGAGATCGTGCATTGCACTCCAGCCTGGGTAAAAAGAGTGAAACTCCCACTCAAAAAAAAAATTATTTAGTGTTTCATTAGGATAGCTTTATTTTTAAGTTTAAATCAGATCGAAATATATACTATAGAGTCAATTTGGGGGGGAAAATTGATCTGTTTTAAACACTGCAATGACTAATTATATGTTATGATGATTGTTTAAGTACAGTAATTCCCGGCACTGAATATTCTACAAAAGGTCTTTGGAAACTGACTTCAGCAAACTCTGTCTAACATAACCAATTTTAGCCTTAGGCTAATTGACATAAACAAGAGTCAAGTTCCTATGACATATTTATGCTCACAAAACGCATCACCAAACTTCAAACACTCCTAATATAAACATTTAAATAACTATGAGCTAGAACCACATTTCAGAACATATTAATAAAAACAAGATTAATTTCCCCGATTTTTGGTGGATAGGTGACTCACAGTGGTAGGCGTGGAAAGTTGGTTAAATCAAGGAATGAATGTTTGCAAATGGAACTGTTCAGGAGGCACCTCCTCCTATGCAAGTCAAAAACAATCACAAATGTGACGGCTCCCTGAGCACCGCCTATTACATTGTTTATTGTCCTGCATTTGTATGATTATATACTTGACAAGTTTTTTACTTGACAATTTATATTCATTTATTTTTTCCAACCAGGTTATCACCTAACAGCAATAAACCTCACATTGCACAGCTTTGGGATGTGTTGGATAAACCTGTGCCAGGCAGACGTGGGGAACCCAACTCCATGCAGACAGCAGCCACTGCCTGGGAATCGATTTTCTTATCAATGTTAGAAATGACATTGAAGAAAATAATTTTATTTGGGGCACCGTCTGATATATTTCATGAAAGCTAGCATCTGTTTTATTTTTTGCAGCTGCAAATTATTATTTTAAAGTCCTGTTTCAAACACATAAAACAGTTGCCAAAGATAACAACATTGTTTGCTTCTTCATTTTAAACAAATGATTTCTCAGTGCTAGCAAGCTAAAATTGTCCTGGAAACCTAAAAAAAAAAGAAGAACAAAATTTCTTCAGTTGTAAATGATATAAAATAACTTTTTCTAAAGTTAAAAAATAAACACAATTTTTTCTTTATGTAATTTTTAAAATGGTTTAGTTTAAAAATAATTATAAAAAGCTGTGATTACAGTTCTATAAAGATAACCATCACATAGCAGGCTTAAAATAAATTCCAAAATGATTAATAAACGTGAATCTGATTACATTTGATCGAATTAACAGTGCAGTGTGGCAGTGTGCTTGTTTGTTTTATGCGTATTAAACAAATTAACATAAGATTAAATTAAAACACAAAATTAGTACAGGACTTAAGAATTTAAATATATCCACTTATAGGTCTATCTAAAGTAGGCTGACTAGCAGTATGTCTTTTCAATATGTAATAAAGTTTCTATGTTAATTAAGTTTAATTAAAGTTAAATGTCTAAGAGGGAGGTAATTTCAGAATCAAGACGTAGAGTTAGGAGCCTATTTCAGTGGGGCGAGTGTGAGATAGTTCAGTGTTTAACAATGGGGTGGGAAAATGGCAAGACAAACCACGAGATTTTGAAAAGCAGGTATTACATGTTTTGATTGCCTTAATATTTTTCCTCTTATGAGTAAAATATGCCAAGAACAGGTTGAAATAAGGGCTGGGAATGTGCTGAGAAAAGTGGTGATCACTTAGGACAATAGCAAATGGAAATGGGGAAAATGCACTGACTATAATTCAGGAAAAAAGCATGAGTAGTTTGGGCCTTGAGATCATACATAGGTATCAGTATAGATCAGCAAGTTCTTCACCAGCTTTCTTGTGCACACATATGGGAAGATAGTGGTTGGGCTGGATTGATCTCGAGTTGAGGTTTTGTCAGAGATGGTGACAGATTGGTAGTAGAACTTTAACACAGTTCAGGGCTGGTGAGAAAGAATGAGTACTAGCCATGTTGTCCAGTCGGGTCAAAAAAATGACAAAATTATTATAGAGGTTATCTAAAATAATGGGATAGGTTTTTCAGGAAGGTGCAAGAATATGATAATAAGAGATATGGTAGTGTGGTCAGAAAACGGGGTTAGGTGCCTAAGATTTTTATGACAAAGTATAGCAAGGGTTCAAGGTTATAACCAGTGATATCACACCTTGCACCTTGATGTTCATACCTTGCAGTGGAGTGGAAGAGAAAAGTTATTGGGTTAAAAATCAGTCAAACCATGAGTTACTTTACAAGAATTATGAAACTGCCTGCAGAAGCAGTGACAAGAAGCCAGGAGCTACATGAAGGAAGAGAACTATGATGGGACATCAGTAGTCACCTTGCAATGGTGGCATGAGTCTCAAAGTCAAAGGGGTGTAACAAGAGGAAACAAGAAAACAAGTAGAAGTAGGGAACACAGATCATAAGGGTGCTGGCAACACCTCTAAAGCTGAAGGGAAAAGGACTCCCTTCCAGCTTATTCTACATGACTCAGGCGCCATGTACATTTTTCTACCATGTAGGAAACCATGAATGGCTATGCACACTGCTTCTTTAACTGTATAATAAAACCACACATTTTCTTTTTCAATCTCTCTTTCTTCCACCCAAAGCCATTGAATTGACTTAAGATAGTTTTTCCTTTTTTCTTCATAGAGTATACTTAAAGGATTAGTAAACCAAAGAAGGAAAAGGAAAGAAGCAGAAACTAAGCTGTAGAAAAAGTGAGCAACTGAGGTCAGGTGCAGTGGCTCACATATGTAATCCCAGAAGTTTGGGAAGCCAAGGAAGGAGGAGGGTCACTTGAGACCAGGAGGTTCAAGACCAGCCTAGGCAACATGGCAAATACACAATTTCTACACAAAAATAGAAAAACACCATTAGCTGAGTATGGTGTCACATGACTGTAGTGTCCCAGCTACTTGAGGGGCTGAAGATGGAAGGATTGCTTGAGCCACAAACCGGTAGAGGCTGCAGTGAGCTGTGATTGTGCCACTGCAATCAGCCCGGGCCACTCAGAACCGAGACCCTGTCTCAAAACAAAACAAAACAAAATAAAAAAGAGTAACTTTCTCTAGAACCACCCCCCCATTTCTCTCCAAAAATCTCAGACCTAAACTCCCTACTGAGATAGTTTTGAGGGCTGAATATAATGATAACAGAGAAAAGCACATTTTTAAGGTCTATGAGAATGATATAAAGCAGACAGGATTTTTTTAAAGTCAAAAATTAAGACAGAGGCATATGTGTTAAGATTATTCTCACATTTTGCAAGTCATTTTCCTTTCAAAGGATTGCTGAGTCTCATTTTAGGGTATTACAGTCAAACCGGAATCTGCAGCTCAGATAAAATGGTTTTGGGAAACAGGATATGACAGGCCTGAACTGGGCTATCAAGCAGTGAGTGACAGTTTGAGGGACCTATTATCTATAGGAAGAATTACAAGAGAGCAAAGCCTGAAAGCTGCCTGGCTTTAGGTTCTTGATAAATTTGCCCAATCCTAATTTTTTTTTGCCTAAGATTAGAAGCAAAGGAACCAAATGAAAGAGGTGCTTTCAGTAGTCTAAAGAGCTATACAGAGCATTGGAATTGTGGGTGCTGGGCGAGACAGAGTTGGGAGTTCATGGACCTATCTTTTAAAGGGAGAGCTGCTTTGAGAGAATCACAATCTCTGGGGTTAGGACCGGGGAAATGTCAGTAAAGGTAAAAGGTGGTCTTGAATCCAGTCGCGCAGCTGACTGGCTCAACGGCAGGTCCTTTGGACAGCCAGGAAAAAGTCCTCTGGAGAAGACACGAATGCACAGCCCAAGCCTGGGAAATCACAAGCAAACTCATCCTGACAACATCCAGAAAACGCATACCTATGTTACCCAACCACTAAGAGAGGACACAGTAGAAAAGGAAGCAGGGAGGGTAGCCAGAGACCACTGTTATCAATAACAGAAAATTTAATGGTTAACGCTATGATTTGTGTGCATTAGAAAAGAAACTGAGGATTGCAGTTT